TCAACTACAATACCCCTATGTCAGAGAAGATAATTTGGGGAAGGATAAAAGAACAGGTGCCATCAAGCTGAAGTCAAAGTGACTGAAGGAGTTGATGATGATGAAGTGGAACCAGATATAGATATTAAAGCAGAGCAAGAGAAAGACCAAGATTTGAAGCCAATAATTGACCTTCTACAAGCAAGTGTTTTGCGCCCTGCTTGGGAGAAGGTTTCTAGCTTAAGCCCTATGACAAAAATTATTGGGCACAATGGGACCAGTTGAAGATGGTATTCTTGTCCAGAGATGAGAAACTGCAGATGGGAAAGTGACGACCTGGCAAACAGTTATACCGAGAAAGTTGTGCTACGTCACTCTCGTGATAGTTTAACAGAAGGACATCTCGGAGTTAAAAAGACATTGAGTCACCTACGGCAGATAGGTATGAAGCAAGATATGGAAGAATGGTGCAGGACCTGCAGTACATGTTGTGCTAAAAGGGGACCCAAGCAGGGACGTGCTCCAATGAAGTTATATCAAGTTGGTGCACCAATGGAAAGAGTAGCTGGTGACATTGCTGGTCCATTGCCCCGAACTCGTGCTGAAAACAAGCACATTTGTGTGGTGATGGATTATTTCAACAAGTGGCCTGTGGCATATGCAATACAAAATCAGGAAGCTACAACAGTAGCTTCGGCTATTAGTGATTTCTTCTTCAGGTTTGGTATGCCATACAAACTGCGTTCAGATCAAGTTCGTAACTTTGAATCAGCTGTGTTCCATGAATGCTGCAAGTTGTTTGGCATATGAAAGACCAGGACAACGCGACTCTACCCACAGTCTGGTGGGATGGTAAAAAAGTACAATTGGACAGGACTTGGCAAAGTTTTGTAATAGCCGAATTGTAATTGGGACGAACAGTACTAAGGAAGGATCAGTGTTACGACAGCAGAAGTCACGCGACGCCTGAAGTATGCGCGATGGAGTTTCTAGAAGGATCATGACTTTTCTTGGCAACTCTAGTCTGTTCTAGGCGCCCTCTTTTAAAGTATATAAGCCCGACAAATAAAGCGGAGATATAATTGCAGATAGATAGAGAGATTGAAGATAGAGATAATCGAGTCAAGCCGTAAGTAAAGTTTGTGAATCCCTGTGAATTATAGCGTGTTTTTATAAAATTAGTTAAGTTAAACTAACTGTGGAAATTCTGTGTATTACAAAGTTGTATCGAGAAAGAATAAACTAGTTTTAATTTAGAAAAAGGACTTGTATCACTGAAGTTCCTCGGAAAACAATTATACAGGAAATTAACAAACGACCAGATATGCAACAACATGTTTGGATGACTGAAATATTCGTCAGCTTACGCCACACAATGTCCATAACCGTTTTAAACTAGTTCTGAACTTTCAAAATACGCAACCTCGTTAAAAATTACGGGAACTAAGAAAGCGTGACAAAAATTGGGTGTGCAATAATTTTTTCTACTATTGTACTCAGAAATATATTACCTTTAGTCATCCGAGGGCACTAACTGAACAGTAAATCAACATACCTGAAAATAGAACACGTGTAAATCGCAAGCATATGTAGTTCAATGTTTTAAGCGTTGTGTATAAATTTATTGGTCTGTGCATTTTGATTCCATTTTTATTAAAACTCATTTTAAGTTTAAAATAATAATGAATTAGAGGTGGAAAATGTTTTCTGTTTTTTTACCATTAGGTTCTTCATAATGGTAAAATACTGTTTGTTTCAAAGTATTTGTTTACATTCTCTCCATCTACATTCTATGATTTCGTTTTTATTGTATACTTCTTTTTTAATGTAGTCTTCTAGAAAGATCGAGAGAATGCTATTACATACAACTATGACATCATTCAACCTTTATCCAATAAGAAAACAGACCATGTGAGTGGAGTCGAGTCTTGATGGTATCTGCAGCTAAGCGGGTTAAATATATAAGCAGGCGTTAGTAATGTTTAATATTATTGTTAGTAAGTTGTATGACGATACGTGAAATCGAAAACTAATTAGCACTTCAAAACACTTTTAGGTGTAGATTACGTAATATTAGTTTTTTAGGAAGGTCCTTATAAAAACTACAGTAGTTCACCCCTTGATATTTATCGTAAGTTTACTTGTACTTGTTGTAGTGACAAATACTGTATACTATAGTATAGTAATAATAGATATTGCCAGGTAAGCGTGAGTATTGTGAAATCTATTTTGGCAATCAAAAAGGTAAGTTGATCATGAAATTAAAATTGCATAAAACATTAACGTCAAAAGAGAGTAGTTATAAGGTAAAAGACATTTCTTCTTAAAAAATGATACCCAATGATTGCAATCATCATTTCATGCACTTAGGTTTTGTTGGTTGTATCTTAACTTAAGGCTTGGTGTAGCCTATAGGGCGTAGGCCTAAATCATAATAACTAGTAATAGTATTGATACTAATGGTGTGTAGTGTAGGGTGACCATATGTCTCCGGGAGAAAAATGCCCGAAATACCTTACATTTCCTATCTTATAAAAGTTGTATATATTATGAAGTATACATCAAAAATACAATAACAATGAATATTCAGTAGACTTTTATTAGCTGAGATAGCATCGTTATGTAGGTGCAGTCCCATAGCTACGACATAATGTTATAAAAACATTTTCTTTCTTTCTTAGAATAGAAAGAAAATCCTAAAATAGATACATTCATAGATAAATACAACTGTCACTATCACAGCAAGCTTCTCCAGTACTGGAATTATAGTGATTATAAGTAAAATAATGTATCAAAGTACACCAGGTTTTAGTTAACAAAATATGGCCATCTTATTTTTAGTATAGTGTAACTGAGTGTGATTTTTTTTTACATTTGTTGCAATTGTCAACATCAATAATTCAATTATATTTGTCCTACTACAATAGTATTAGGTGGATTATATTTGCTAACAATAATCATTGCTCAATGACTAAACAGATATAGTCACTTTCATATTCATATAATTGATAAGCATGAGCAGTTCAGTTACTCATGACTAGTAATTACACTCATCATATTCTTAAGCTGCCCATAAATATAATCATGCACCACTAGTAAAGGCATTCATACCATAATGTCATTAACTGTTAGTGCTAAGATAAAAAAAGGTCATAAACATGTGACTAATTTGTTTTAATTTCCATTATAAGTATACTCAAATAACCATAACAGTTAACATAAATTTATTTTTATTGTAGTGGATATATATTTATACTTGTCATAACATGATTTTAATGCCATTAACACTATGAATCCACAGTTCATGAAATTGATAGAGAGATACTATCAAACATGTTGGTAATTTTGATACTTCTCAACTTTATTATCAGCCCAAGCTATATTGAAACACAAAATTCAGAATACATTTCAGAATGTAGAATTATCTAGGGATCTGTAACAGTAACTAATTTTGGGCTCAAAATACTTTAAATCAATCAACTATATTTATTTAGTGATAAAATAACCTGAGCAATGATAGCTATCATTACAAGATAACCTCTTTGAAATTGAGACTCAAAAATACATGATTGGGTATGCATCATGGTGGTAGTATAAGTATAGCCATTAAGATCATGTTATGTGCTCCTACATATATTTGTCATATATGATAGTAGCTGTTCACCTTCTTGTAATTCAGCAAACCTGCAGCACACTTGGCTGCCTCAGAGTGAACAAGTTCCTATATTGTGTTTCATGTCACTGTACAGTTTTGCACAAGGTATTCAAATATGTTACTCAGAATATGTGACTGGAATTTTGCCATTACGAGAGAAACATGCCAAAAGTATAAGCCATTGGAGCTGGCAATACCAAAAGGTTGTTCAATTCTGCATATTGACAATGAAAATAAAATAGTAGTCAAGACTTAACATTTATGATATTTATCATCCTTCAGAGGTGTGCTTGCTTCCAGTTGGGCAAGTAGTAAATTATTCGTGACACAATCCGTGTTATTTACTTCCATACAGCAAAGTACAAATACAGATTATAATAAGGCAGTCAGTAGGGAAAAAAGAAGACAAACCGGTGTTATGTACATAACTTGCTAATATTGCTGGACATACTCAATGTTCTCAAACAACAGTTTTAAAAATTATTGATTAGTAGACTTCAGATGCTTTATTAGATCATGAATAAGGTTCATAGTGGTCAAATTGTTTGGCATACTCTGCTATGGTTTCTTCCAGTTAGATGTCTTGTAATTTTAAGCATTTTAATATTTATTACTCATTTACTTTGAAATAATACACCTTGTTGTTATTCATTAATTTCTTCTAGAACAGTTATTAAAAGTTTCACAAGGTATATTATTTAAATATTATAAATCATTGTTATACATATAGTTTCTCTCTCACCCTGAAAGGGTATGCCATACATTTTCTCACAGTGATTAGTGAGACCATGACATACAAGTTTCTGTCATGGTTGAATTGCATAGACTAGAACAGCTATAGACTGTTTTGGAACTTGTAGAATGAATAGACATGGTTTTCTTACATTGCAAATATTAAGGAGGTTGTGAAAGGAAAATCTCCTCATTGTTGTACAGCTTAGAGCAAGTGATTTATTTTTGTAATTGAAGATAAAAGGAATTATTAACTAGATTCAGTTTTTCTGAAGGACTTCAATTGTTTTGGACAACTTTTAATTAAGAGTTCTATCTAGTGCTTTGGGGAAGTCAAGAAGTTTTAAGAAACATGGCCCAAGGATTTAAATTAACCGAGTAAACATAATTTATGAATTTAATGGATAAGATAATAAAGAAATTTGTCCATTGAAGTAATCACCTGAACAATAAAACAAAGCATAAAGGGGTTTGGGGAGGGGGGGTCTTAATGCAGGTCTACCAAAATCTCAGTGCCAAGTTGCCATGGCAACTAAAGATTTCATCATGGTGCCTAGTATTTTCAGCCATCTTATTTGGGTGTAGAGCTGTGCTAAATATAACTTGAATCTAGAATAGTTCTGGACTCTTGGACGTCCGGAACTATTTTAGCATTCTTTCAGTCCTAAATCGAACTTTGTTTCCATGATTTTAATGGTGGATTCAACACTTCTTCATTTTTTTTTTTCAGGAATAAAGTGCTGCGGTTGCACAACATGTTACTAATTTCACACCATTTTGTTTTTCTTCTCTCTCTCAATTCAACCAATCAGTGCACATGTTTAGACTCAGACAGGATCAAAGGCAATTAGTTCAGGCAATACTATCAAGAGGTTGCTGATATCGTGATTATTAGCATGTACTCATTGCTGTGAAAATAAATAAATATACGTATCCACCATTTCCCAGTACAAACAATAGTGAAGTTAGGTTGGGCACACCTGGATCCTGAGTTTTTGGGCTGATAACTAGATCTGAAAATATTTGTCGAGGCTTGTCTTAATGTGTCCCATATATCTTCATAACCATACATATACATCCATAATTTCAACAAATAACATACACACATTATCTAGCAAACTATTTCACGTTTATAATAAAAAAAAAATAATTACCTTTGTTTTTTCAAAGAATGACTATGGATTCAGAACTAAATCAGTCTAATATTCAAGTTTGCTTTTTAAACCTATTTCATTTGTCAATCAGACTAATGATAGGCATATTCTTAATCCCTTAGCAGTTTTAAACAGCTTTATGAAGATTTCTTTTAATCCATGTCTGTATAGATAAAAATTCATAAACCTGGCATGTGTTTTTCAAATATTTTTATGAATATTATTCTTTTGCTGAATAATTCTATAGATTTAAGCAGGATGAGTGAAGGAGAAGACAGACGCCATCCAAGGAACCTACAGGGTCTGCTGAGGTTTTGTACAGAAAACACTGAAGCTGAAGATTCAACCCGTCCAACAGATGCTTCCTTAATTGATCCTGAGGTATGTCCACAGAATATTTCATTCTGGTTTTTATTGTAAATGGAATTACAATTTTTTTTTCTCATACTAATAATTAGTTAAAGAATTGCATAGAAAATGATTGTATTTACTGTTAACACTTGTGTATATATAATTTTTTTTTGCATATGCTATTTTTATAAGATAGAAATCTTTAATGTATTTTTTACTTATTTTATAATTTACATAAATTTGAGCTGATAACAGTATGATTAAAAGCATATGGGAGTGGCAATGTTAAACTATTTTCAAATAAAAATAACTAAAGATAGATCCTGTTTTTTGGCCACATGTATCTGTTAAGTCTAGAATATATTATCAATCTACTTTTCATAGCAGTGTGCACACACTAGTAAATTGATACTTCAAGTAAAAAAACAAGTTGGTTTGTACTGGTTAATTTCCTCAATCAGGCATTTCTTCTTGACCATACTTGTAATAATGATCTCATGTAGAATAATACCAGGCTATCTTAAGTAGTAGTATGTATAGCAGCAGCCATAATATTTCTTTTAAGTATTTTGCTGCCATACTTCTTTGTATGTATTATACTTTGACATTGTCATATTTGTATTTAAAAATCCTATAGTTAAATCAAAGAAATTTCTGTAGGATGACTAATTCATATTTTCATTTCACATAGTGTCTATGATGTCATTCTCTTCTATTGTATAATTACATTACTAGCAGATGATGATCATTATTACTTAAACTCAAGTAATCACTTAAGTTTGTACATTTTCAAATTAATTTTTTTCAGTATTTATTACAAATGAACAAAAAATGTCTACATATAATTTCCATTCATTACTATTTTATAAATAAGCTTTTCATCATCTGTACGAGACATTTATTTACTGACTTGCATATTTCAGAGGAGAGAGTGGCTTGAGCAAGCCTTAGAGAGCATGACAGTCTCTGTTGTTGAAGAGATGGAGAAATGTTTACAGATTCTCAGGAATGGTATCAATGATGAAAAAGCTGATGATGATGTTTTTGCTGAGCAAAAAGTAGCTCTGGAGAAACTCCTAAATTTTGTGGATTCCATTGATCATGCTATAGGTATGAAAAGATTATTTTTATTTTGTTGTTAATAACAGTTAGAAATCACATTTCATACTTTGGTTTTACTGCATAACACTGAAGTAAATATTTTTAAAATTTCCAATAGATTTTCACAAACTTGGAGGATTTTCAGTTCTGCAGTCTCTGTTGAGAGAACCAGATACAGAAGTCAAAGCTTTAACAGCAGAACTAGTAGCTGAACTTGTCCAGAATAATCCATACTGTCAGAAAGTAGCCATAGAGCATCATCTGGTGGTAACTTTACTGAATGTCTTAGACCACGATCCCGATGAACTAGTTAAAGTGAAAGCTCTCTATGCTATATCCTGTAACTATCTGTCTCAATATAATTGTTTAGTTTTTAATATTAAATATTTTTTCACTTATCAAAGTATAGGATAATTTGCTTATAAGTGGAATGTATTGAGAGTGTTAAGATACTATGAAAAATGTGGACATGTTTATAGAAGTTCTAAGTGTAATGTTTATATTTCCAGATATTTACAGCATAGTTTTTTAGTTAAATTATTTAAGAGATCTCATTTACACTATTCAACACAAATTTTAAGGTTATTCAGTACTACTTAACTTAATGTATATTGTGTTCTAAATGTTCTTTCAATGTATAACTACTAATAGGTCTGTGTAGACAATGTTCTGAAGCTCAACAGGTGATGGAAAAAACAGATGGCTTTTCTGTTCTTCTTCGAGCACTTCAATCTCCTGCAGAGAAATTGAAAATAAAAACTTGTTTCCTGTTATCTAATCTTTGTTCTCAAGAACCTGCCTTTAGAGGTAAAAGTTATTTTAATATTTATTCCAAATAAGTTTATCCAATTATATTTAAACAAACTTATGAAAAAAAAAGGCTGTTGACTACACAAGAACTCTGATGATATGAGTAGGTAAAAGTGTGCATATCATGACTTGTTTTTTAGAGTTACATTCAAAATAAATAAACTTGGCATAAAAACATAGTTTATAAAACAAATTCCAATTTCTTAATTTCAAGAGGAGATATTTGAATAAATTTTCAATCTCCTAGTCTGGGTAACATGAAATTTAGTTGCTCTGCCATGCCCATTTTCTATTTTACATCACCTTTCTATGGTGTCTTGAGTTTAATATAATTACTCGTTATATTAGGTCATCAAGAAATTAATGTAGCATTTTTGGAACATTTTCATTAACCACCCCCTAAAAAACGTACATCACATATAATAGTTAAACAAACCACATAGACGTCAGGTTAGTGTAGCCTGTATAGTGTGTAAAGTTTAGTATACTCTATTCCCTTATAGTGATGGCACATGACGAGACAAACAATCGGCATGTAATGCTGTTTAAATACAAGGGAAACAATTCCTCTGTAGTCATAAAGAACATAAAATATGTTTATGAAAATGTTTTGAACATTGTGTCAACGATGGTTCAGCAAATTTCGTTCAGGTGGACTTTAACCTTAAAAACTGT